TGTATAGGGTCGGTGAATGGTGAATTGTGCCCCACTTTACTGGAATTGATCTCCATGAACCAGCCCATTTTCCTATAGTGTACTACGTACTTATTTTGTATCTCTTCTTTTTCCTAGGTTGTTCCCATGGGACTGAAACGATTGGAACTGGAAATGTGTCTAAGAATGAACGATGTATCGATGCGCTGCATATTCAATCGTCTTAAAAATCTTGAGGTAAAGTACATCAAGAATTTTTGGGGCTAAGGTAAGGGGGGGGGGGGGGGCAAGTAGCGGCGCTCTATCGCTTCCACACTGGTCCCCCACGGTCTCTAAGGCTGAGCGTGAAGCGGATTCAGAGCACATCGTACGTTGAGTCGCAGCGAGGGAGGTTCCTATTTGGTTGCTGGAATAAGGAGGGGGTGTCGTACTTGGTTTTGAAAAATGTTTTCAGTTGTTGACTTTTTCGGTTTTCCCGTTCCACATGCGCTATATAGCCCCATCCCGCTTTCCTAGACTGGCACGGCAGTTTTTTGGACCAAGTTCGAAAGATTTCTGGAAAAATCTCCTTAAAAGTGAGTTGGGTGAATTCAGTAAGATGGTGGGTGGGGTGAAGGGTGGAGAAGAAAGGGGAAATTTTGAGGGGGTCTGCAAAATTTTCCCTATCCGCAGGACGTGCACTGTGTGTGGGGGGGGAGCAATAGGCGAGACTAGGCCCCGTTCACTCCAAGGTGTTCTAAAGTGGAGCTGGATTACTCGGAAAAAAGATTAACGTATTGTCGGCAGAGCACAGACGCCATCACCCACCATTGCATTAACCACACATTGCTTGCCGTTAGAAAAACCAGTTCGATCCCTAGTTTGGACTACCTACTTGAAAAGTTTTCACAATTAAAAAGGGTTTTTTTCCAGGTACTTTACGTGTCAGAGCTGAAAATTCTGAAGGATCAGATCGTTTCTTCACTGGTGAGCAACTTGAGGAAACTGAGAGATCTTTCAATAATTGGGAATCCCGATACGCCTAATCTAGGTATTCTATATTTGACTCAAGCTGTTTTCCTTTGTTTCTTTTCTTTTGTACCGATATCCCATGTAGATGCAGATGGCTTTTTCTAACGTTTTTTTATTAAGACCTCTCGGCTTCTGCTTTATGCCATTTGACGCGTCTTCCTCTTCTCGAAAATCTCTGTCTGGAGGGTTTGCCTGCTGTGACAGACCGTTTTCTTACGGTATAATTACCTCATTAGTTGCAGGTTTCAGATTTCGGTGAGGTGCTTATTTTAGGAACTTGGTGATACCACAAACAATGCAGCGGCCAGAAATATTACAAGCCTATCACTGGCGTTTTGCTACAACTTTAGCTCGTATGTCTACACTTTGATAGAGCTTTACTTCCTTTGATTGCCTCAAACATTCTCTTTTCCAGAGCTGGACTTCAGCGGCTAGCAAGAATGCCAAAACTGGATAGCTTGAATCTTGACGGTATTACCAAACGCGACATTTCCTCGGGTCTTCTCAAGGTGGCCGAAGAGGGCCGACTAATGAGGGTCAGCCTAGTTCTATCTTTTTTTGGTTCTCCACGTTATCGGGTTGATTATGGTACCTAGGGACTGTGCTTTTCAAATTCATATTTTATGAAATCATTTTCAGCTGCTGCTTGCTGAAGGAACCAATGTGTCGTGCGATGCGCTCAAGGAAATCGTTCGTCTGTCGACTCATCTCCGCCTCCTAGACATAAGTAACAACGATGTTCTGGCGGATTGGGCTGCTGCTAATGCTTTGGTAAAACTCGCTTATTTTCGTATTTGCCTTTCTATGAAAAAGTAACTGTTTGTGGTGTGCTGAGGCAGTCCAGGTCCATTCGTCCACAAGGTTATAACTTTAGGAAAACGGGCGGAATACGGTATCCCCAGAATTGCACGTCCAATTAACTATGTCGGCTCCGTGAATACATACAATTGGGCATGGCGTTTGCCGGTTTAGTTACCGACGTTTGTTAGCCTGTGCTATGTACCTTTCGCACAGCTTGGTTGATGCACGTTTCTTCATTTATCCGTATTCTTACTGGGCGTTCGCGCTCAAAAGGAGGGGGGTAAGCTCTTGAGCGGAACCGGGAAGCGAGAGCGACAGCAGCTTCTGCTTTGCACCCGACCAGGGGCTGCCTGGGCGAATACTCAGTGGCGTTGGAAGCCCTCACTGCCCCTACACACACGTTTCCGCGCACAGTTTTGGGTGTTGCGCCCCGCATTTCTCCTGAACTTATCTTATGGAAGATCTATGTTTGTCCCATACCCCCCCCCTTTCTTTACCCCTCTCTTAGTGCTCCGATTTTATCTGCAATGTGAATTTGTCTAAGAGTGAATACACCAGTTTAGGTTGCTCAATGGGCTGCTTCGAAGCGCCCCTCTCTAACAATTTTAACTAACAATCATATGCCATGGGCTATGATCAGGCTTCCAACGCCTTGTTCAATTTGGACACCCCCACCTGTTAATGTCTGCCATCTACACAGGAGCCTCGTGGCATCGTATGTTTTAAATGTTTTACTAGTTGAATTACAGCCTTGTTCGCTGGGCGGGGGCGTGTCAGGAGGACTAGGTTGGCACGGCGCTAGCCTGTTTTCCACCAGCTTTTGTCGCTTGCCCTCTCGGTGGAGAAGAGCGCGCGGCGCTCAATCCACCCCCTGGCACGTCCCGCATCCACAGCGAACAAGACTGTAGTAGTGATCTAGTCATATCGATCTTCCGAAATAACCCACAAGTTCTCTGTAGAACCGAAATCATCCCTGGAAGCGTGCTATCCTACGACAATTCGTCTCAACTCCCACAAGGATTGTTACTGCCGCGTCTTCGTCGTGGTAATAGGTATCGCCTACTTTGCTCGCTGAGGCCTCCATTGCAAGAAGATTCCGACGATCAGGTTGGAAGATTTTATCCAAGAAAGTATTACTATGATAATGTTTTTCTTTTTTAAGAAAGAGAACTCTTGCTCACCTCCTCAACGTTATCAGCGTGGTAAAGGGAAATCACCAAAAAGTCCAGGAAATGTTTCCTCGATCTCGCCCATACCATCGGTACCGGTATCACCTCCTCTGTTCGCCAATGTCCAGAAGTGAGTGGTTTTTCTAGAATAGAATTGTTGCAGAAGCAAATACGGTTTATTACGCATTCTGATGATCCTGGGGGACGCGCTGCGACCGCGTGCATCCCATCATGATTATCACGAAATTTGTTCTGTTGTACAAGTTACATTCTACGTAAACTAATAATCATGTTCATGGATTTAGCGCATCACCAGTTGGCACAGGAGGCGTCATGAGCCCTGAACTGGCTAGCTACTTCTCCAACTGTGCTCCTCTGGATATGTCACCAACGGCGCTGTCTGAATTGTGAGTTCATTAAACTTTTCCAAATGTCTTGATTTTTTTTGTGATCCTGTGTAGTACAAGGCGCGGCATCGCGCGTGAATCAATATTCCTAGTTGACTCGGCGTAGCACTTTGGCGTCAAATCACGTAGGTCGAAGCTGCTAATGTCTTGCTTTTTATTTTACAGCACTCTCTTGAAAAATTTTAAAATTCGTAAAAATTGGATTCGAATTTTTAAGGTCGCCGTCAGATATTTGTTTTTGAACGGTTTTACTT